GGGGGGGGTTACTGTAAGTTTATGTCAACATGACTGTGTCCAGTGGTGGTCACTTGGTGGTCAGAGAAGTCTGAAGTGATTGGTCAATATAGACGCTCTCAGTACTCTCACGGGGCGGTGAAGGGCGGCCTGCAATAAAATGTGGTGCATCGTGGCGAAATCAGGCGCTCGTCAGAAAATAAGTAAATTCGAGAAACCAGTGAGTTTTTTTCCGGATATTTTGGCAAATGTTATGGGATTTTTAAATTTAGGTTTTATTTTTATTAATTTTGGTTTGGGGTTGTTTGGGGGTTTTGTTTTTTATTTGGGGAGGGTGAGAGGTGTTTTTTTTTTCTTGTGTGTTTTTGTTTGTTTTGTTTTGTTTTGTTTTTTGTTTTTGCTCATCACCTTTTTTGTCCACTTAAAAAAACCCACTACTTTCTTAGTGGATTTTCCTGCTTAAAAGTTGATCTAGGCACACACACAAAAAAAGTAAATTTATAGTTTTTAAAGACTCCCAAGCTTTGGAAGTCACCACACTTTGGCGGCCATGTTCTCGATAATTTTATCTCTGACACCAGGACCAGACGACCCCATCTCCTTCAGTCGCAAATATCTCAGCTTCTGTTCTTGATAGATGGGTCATTTTTTCTTTAACTTAAATTAAAAGCTTGACAAATGAGTAAGCTTTAATGTGATACCTCACTTACATACTTATAAACTTTTTTCTTGTTCTGTTCTCTTATACCACGAGATATCGAGGGAATATGCAATAATTATCTTGGTCGGACGTGGGCCCAGTATGTTGCTGTTTAGGTCTTCATTATTGTTGTTCCTTTGTGGCGTCTTTCGCCTAGATGTTAGTCTACCGGACCAGTAATTCTGAGATTGTGGGTTCAAGGGTTCGAGGGTTCGAGCCTCCGCTCGGTCCGACGTGGTGTCCTTGGGAAAGACACTTTACTCGAATTGTCCACATGGCTCGGTCTTTTTGGAGATGGACGTTATACTCGGAGGTCCCGCCTCTTAAATAACCTAAAAGTATTGATAGGGGCTTTAAACTTATACCATTTTACCCATTTTTTTCCTTGGAGGGTGTGGGGGGGGGGTCTTTGACTTTGTCGATCCATCTTTTTTTAACCTTCTTTTTTCTTTAAGCCATCAATCAAATCGCATGTTGTATAGGCCTTGGAGGCTGGCTGTTGTGGCCGCACTCTCATTACTCGTCTAGACCACCTTATTTGTTGTCTTTCGATGCACTTTTATGATACCGATACCTCCACCTGCCGAAAATTTGACGAGCGCCTGATTCCACCGCGTCGTGACACATATGTGTTACATGACCGGATATTGCTGTGGATAGGATTGTGTGGTTTGAATGGGGTGTGTTTGGGGGGGATTTACGGGGAGGATGCAGGTGTGTGGAGGGAATTACGGTGTATTTGCGTGTGTGTGTGTGTGTTTGTGTGTGTGTGTGTGTATGTGTATGTTTATTTGACCCTGAGTGTGTGTATGTGTGTTTATGTGTGTGTGTGTGTATTTGTGCGTGCGTGTGAGTTAAAGTGAATGTGTGTGTCTGTATTCGCCTTTGAATGTGGGTTTGTTTGTTTGTGTGTGTGTGTGCTTGCTTGTTTGTTTGTGTGTGTCCGTTTGTCTTTGTGTGTGTGTGTGTGTGTGTGTGTGTGTGTGTGTGTGTGTGTGTGTTCTGCTGGCGGATCCGACCTAATGGTTAGACTACCGGACCCGTAACCGTGAGATTGCGGGTTCCAGGGTTCGAGCCTCACCTCGGTCCGGCGTTGTGTCCTTGGGAAGTGCACTTTACTCGAAGTATGCTCTTGTCTTGATCCTTTTGGAGACGGGCGTTAAACTCAGAGGTGTGAGTTGAAATGCGTTTATTACACTCGTTGGCTCTCTGTCTTTTTCTCCACTCATCCTTCCTCTGTACTTTCTGTCTCTTCTCTTCTGTTGTTCTTTGTCTCAGGGGTTGACATGTAATGACCCGTGGGTGGTTAGCGGGTGCTCTGGTGTGGTTTGCTTCTTCTTTCCTATCAAACATCTATCCTTCTTATCTCCCCTTCTTCTTTTTTTATGTTTGTTACTCTCTTGTAACACCTCTAATCTTCTGGCGCTCATATGACCCTATGCAGTTGCGAGCGCCGTAAAACCTCTACTAAAACTAAACTAAAAAACACTTTCCACCTTTCCCTATCCTGGGCTACCCTCTTGATGTTATTCCATGTCTTCTTAAATACAATGTAGTGTTGGCATAGGTGTTATACCATGTGCCCATTGGCACGATCGGGTCGGGTCGGGTCGGGTCGG